GACACAATTTCCTCGAAAAAACGAGCTTATTATTGATAATTGAACAAAAGCACATTAATAATAATAATAATCTCAGTTGATTATATACAAGCCAGCGAGATACATCGTTTTTTTTCACTTAAAGGCGTTAGAATTGAAGGAAATTTGTCTTACTCGTGGCTATTATAGTTATCGGTAAGGCTACCGCCACGGTATGGTGGTGAGGCTAACCTTATGGTCGTCGGGGGGGTAGCGGCGTAAGAGGTCTGGGGGGTGGATGGGGGATGAGGGGCGAGGGGGGGACCGCGCCCCCACTATCACGATGTAGTCCAGCAGGCGGGGGCACAGGGGGCGCCCCCCGTACAGCTCGCAACACACTGCCGGGTAATATTTATAATATAATAATATACATAATACTAATATAATATACATATATGTACCCCCGTGATATTCTCATTTTAATAAATTTAATTATTTATCGCTGCAGATAAAGCGACAAAGATATCAAAAAGCCCATTTTTATTTTCCATGCTACAATATTGCTCAGATGTCTTTTTAACTACAGTTAAGCGACAGCCCGACGTCATCGCGTTATCCTAATTAGCACACCATTATATTAGAGCCGCAGCTCTCGTAAGTTCTTTATTCCGTAACACTTGGATAATTTTCCTGCACATTTTTTGTGCCGTACCGTTCAGTGCTCGAGATTCAGTATGCGTTAGACATTAGGCGACATACTTAGCGTAGTACTTTGTTTTAGCCATAGTTTATTCATCAAATTTTCATGAATTTATCATTAAATTAATTAATTTGTTGCCGTCGAAACCTGTAAATGGTTCTTTATACCTCTTAACGATAAGAGGGATAAAGAACTCACGAGGGCTCTATTGTAATGACGAGCTAAACTTAGCTAAAGGATAACGCTACGACGTCGAGCTGTCGCTAAACTCTATAAAACTACATTATAAAATATCTCATACTGTATAATATACATCTACATGAGGAATTGTGGCGTGAGGAATTATGACGTTATGGCGTGAAGAATAGAGGTGAGGAATTGGGACGGGAGAAATTGAGCTTAAGGAATTGGGGCGTGAGTAATTTTGCGAGGAATTGTTGCGTGAAGGCTCTGGGTAGAGGAATTAACTCAGTGCTCTATTTTATTCATGATTCTCTGACCTCGCGGGCCAGATGTGCACAGGCTTCATACCTGCCAGCCATGACCGCTGAGTCATGATGCTGATTCATGAGTACGATCTCACAACTATTGTTTTGCTTAGTATAGTATGGGACATGATAATATAGTATATTTTATTTTAGTACCTATAGCCGTAGGGTCGCCGGTTCTTGTAATGTCTCGTAACATGCTCACAGAATGTCTTATAACTCATAATTTGATCATATCTATTCAAACTGACTTGGCTGCTATGAAGCTACTTGCGTGTTAATAAGTATATAGTCTATTAAGTCTAATAAGTATATTAAGTCTAATAAGTATAAGTATATAACTATATATAGTCTATTCTTGAATGCGTTTATACTGTTCGGCTTCTACAGGCAGTCTGTTCCACATGTTCTACATATGAACTCACCGGGAACTTGAGAAATTGAAAAACATACGGTCTGTCCTCAGATTAGTTATCAAAAGTTAATAAAATTCATGTTGAGTTTTACCAGGTAATAAACTAGCGTTACGATCCAACCAGTTGAACTATCTTGTATCCAGACATCAGGATCCAACACAAGTGAAGTTGCACCAAGTTCGAAACTTAACTCATCAAGTAGGAACAAGTTACCACCTGTCGTCAAACTTTAGCATACCTACAGGTGGACAAAGTTGCAACCTGACGTAAAATTCAAACACACCTCGAGTTCTACTACGTTACAACCTGATGTCAGATTTAAACATACGTCAAGTTGGACTAAGTTACAACGTGACGTCAGATTTAAACACACGTCAAGTTGGACTAAGTTACAACGTGACGTCAGATTTAAACATAGCATAAGTTGTACTAAGTTGCAACTTAAGTAAGCTAGGGTACTCACTGGCTGAGGCAGCGTGTCACTCATGCACTCAGCGTCTGGGGAGGTTGGGGGCAGGACAGGCTGGCGCTCCCTCTGGGGAAGAGTTAATCTCATAATAACATCAGAGCGAAGACCTTCAGCAAGAAAATTATGAATTATAAATACTACTGAATAATACTTCAAAAACATTAGGATATTTTCGCTAGGGAATGCCGGGATATAGAGTGCCAACCAAATTAATGGTAAAAAAGTAAAATTCAACTTTTTCGTTTCGTACTCTCACCCCCTAAAAGTTTTACTTTTGACTTAGAAATAAAGCAAAAAATTTTTTGAACAAGATATTTCAACATTTGCCGGTTGCACACGAACTATATTTTTCTGTTTATAATGCTCAGTTGATATTTTTTACGACAATACCTGATTTTTATGTCCAGTGAGTAAATACTTGTTTACAGTAAATTAACAGTTGAATTACATATTCTTTGCTGGCAATGTTTTATTAAAGTTTATTTTCTACTAGACTCTTTGTTTGACCAGAAATTCCACCGTTACGTATAGTGCAGCAAAGGCCTGCACAAGACCGCATGGTGAGGTTACAACGCTTCGCTTATATCTTGCTCATAATTTGTGTTACAGGAACAAATCAAACAATGGCGAATTTCTTGTTTAATGTACGAGTGCAGTATATCAGTGAGATATATAGTAGAATACCTTCATATTAATATTATATTATCTTGGTAATGAGTCAAATGATGTTCACATTAGTGCTCCAGGTGCCTATGAAAGAGCACGGTGCATGGATGGTAAAAATATTATACAGCTTAAAAACTTACCCCCAGTCAATCCCAGTTTCATCTTACACAGTCTGAATTCAAATGGGCTTCAGCAGTTCTATGCATTTACTGTGCAGCTGTATCTTAACACATATGGTACACATGCACGTCTGCTGCAACTGCTGTGTGAAATGATCTGCAGTTGCTCTAAGGTCTTAATTGTTGATCATGTAACAGTTAATAAGTGAATTTCCAGTACAGCCCCGAAGGCATTCATGCCCATTTATGGTCCTGGAGTGAAACTCTTATGGGGCTTGCTTTCTTCGATCCAGAAGTTATACTAATACAGAAAAGCGCAAAATAGTGCTGCCTTGTCAAAACCCGGTGAAGTTGAATCTCTGGATTCAACTTCGCCGTCAACTTTGTGGATTAACTTCATCCCCACCTTATAGAGTTGAATCTCGGGCTGATAGAACTGTGTCAAAACTCTTCCCAGCTCTGTCAAACTTCGTCTCAACTTACATACACAAGTTTGTTGGGGCAATGCAAATTGAAACTGGCTTCCTATACAGCAGGAGTCTGACACCTGGAATAGCATAGAACAGTACTGCATCAATTGTCAAGAAGTGCTGAAGCTGAAAATTGTAAATGATGATGCTGAAAGTGGTAATTTGATAACGATCGAACTTCAACTCCAAGTTGAGGAGCAGTACGTAAGACAGGTCGTCAAATATCATCGCCAGAAATTTCCTGCGTCCAAGAAATCTGTTACTACTGATAAACTTTCAAGTGACTAAACCAACTGTACTTTATTACAGTGTGTAGTGACTCAGCGACAGTAGTGCATGCACGGTAGCATTTCAATGGTGCAGTACACTGAATAACAATTAGTTGACTTACACTGTTAAGCATTTCATTGAAACTGTTACCGTAATTGATTTAAGCTCCATTCGTAAAAACTCAACATTCATGGGATTATTAAATTTTTAGGATTATGCACTCTTCCTATGTACATGAACAAATCTCGACCATGAGACCAGTAAAAATCCAATTTCTTTTTGGTTGGCACCTAAGCAGGGAATTAAAGTTGGAGAGAAAGCTGTAAATTATATATTCGCATCTCAATTTTACTCATCACACCTAAATATAAATGTAATAACGAAACCACAACAACTAAAGAAAACAATTTTTTGACATAAATGGGTAATTTTGTAGCGTGTTTTCATATTCAGGTTTAAGGGAAATCCAATGATAAATTTTCTGCAATCTCGGGAATCTCCGGCGGCTGTAAAGATTCCTTCGTTCGAGTGCGTGGTCCATGCCTTCAAAGGCACCGCGAGTCTTACTTTTTCGCCAGTATTTTAGCAATTCGTCTATTTCCATTTTGATACCCCAAAACGTGATATAAAAGTCCTGGTCACATCTAGTTCAGAGAGGCATCAAATAGTTGATCATTATGTTCATGACAATTTTCAGGTTATAGTTGCCACGTTAATTGTCGCCCTCCTCCCGATACGGTGGCCGGACTTGGAGAAGGGAGCGCGAGACGCGCGATCTCAAAATCTCCTCACTTCAGCCCCACACTAAGAAAAATTAATGGGTAATGTTGTCCAAATACGTCACACTTTCTGCACTTAGCAATGATATGCCTCTTTACTCGACCAAACTGGATCAGGATAACGCACACAAGTGCTAGAATTAAGCGCATCGCCATTTGGACAAATTTCACTCAGATCTCTGGGTACATTGGTAGAAAATATTTGTAATTCTAAGACAATGCCGTGACACGGGATTTCGAAATCGTAGATCGCACCACAACTTAAAACCATCGCTTAACGCGCAATTAACCGTCACGAAAGTAGCGACCATCGACTGTCTCAAAGCTTAAGATTATTGTAGCACTTACCACCAACGTTTAATTTAGGACCATCCTAAGAATTTCAAACATCGTAAGACTTGAGATCGTGGCAATTCAAGAAGTCAAAATTCCAAAGTTGGGAACGAAAAACTCGAGATTTTCGTGAAACTTGGGATCATCTCATAACTAACGTCCATCGTATAAGTGAGCATTATGATCGTTGATGCCACAGCTGAGGCCGGACGTGTCAACTGATAAACGCTACCAAGTGACGCCCAACACTGATAAGCCTTAGCTCCTTGCCTGCTGTGTAGTGCAGTGCAGCGGTGTAACGGGTGTGTGCTGTACAGTGCAGCGGTGTATACTGTGCAGTGCAGCAGTGTATACTGTGCAGTGCAGCAGTGTATACTGCGCAGTGCAGCAGAGTATGCTGCGCTCAGCACATCACAGGAGTGCCGATGCCCACCACGGACAGGCAGCACAGCCGGAGATGTCCGAGCATCGTGCCAGCATCGTATGACATCACGCACCAGCTATTATAACACTCAAGGAAGTATAGCGCCATGTTCGAGGTGTTGAGACACGCAGGGTCTACACGGAAACGAAATGGTGGAAAACTCCGACTGGATCCCCGTTAGCTGGCACCGGACGGCCCAGTGATGGACAGGGTGAGAGGACTGCCTACCGGGAAGGAAATACATGCAGTAATCCATCGCTATATCGCGCTTCGCCTATATTAAGGTGAAAAAAACCTTAATAAGAAAAATCATTCGCGAAATCACTAGTTCGCTAGGTTTTTGAGAAAGTTTATCGGCAGATTTAAACAACCGCGGAACTCAATCGGCAGCAAGGGTGTGGGGAGGGTTTGCGAAAACTTAAAACAATGAAAACTAATCGAACAATTATAATATGAATACTTGAATAAGTACCATCAGTTGATCAATTACCCATCGCTGATTTCACGTATTGCGGCCGAGGTCTGCAACGTAACGCCGCCATACATGAGGAATTACAGTACTATAAGGCTACGGCCGGACCAAAAGCGTTCGCGCGTACTGTACAGTACTGTCACTGCAGTAGCGCAGTGGTTATAGGGCCGCTGTATGCGCAGTGACGACGGTAGAGCGGCACCGAGACGGAGGAGCTAGGCGTGGGTTCGAGCCCCGGGAAGTTCAGTTAAAGTCTCGGAGTCGCTAGTGGACGGCGCATAGTCGCCGTCAAAAGGTGGTGCTTTCAGCATGGCCTTGGGTGTGTGTTCCTAAACACTCTAGGTGTTACCTGGGGGATCTTAAAATACGCAGCTAGGTAGCTAGGTAGACGCTTCAAGACGAGCGGAGCCGCGGTGACCGTATATAGTGGTCGGTCACACCAGACACTAGACCGCACAGCTTACGGCGAGTCAGTGTGTATAAATGAGTGTCAGCAAGAGTAGCGCTGTAACAAGTAGCGCTGTAACAAGTAGCGCTGTAACAAGCAACGCTGTAACAAGTAGCACTGTAACAAGTAGCGCCGCAACAAATAGCGCCGTAACAAATAGCGCTGTAACAAGTAGCGCTGTAACAAGTAGCGCTGTAACAAGTGGCGCTGTAACAAGTAACGCTGTAACAAGTAGCACCGTGACAAGCAATGCTGTAAAAAGTAGCGCTGTAACAAATAGCGCTGTAACAAGTAGCGCTGTAACAAGTACACTGTAACAAGCAACGCTGTAACAAGTAGCGCCGTAACAAATAGCGCCGTAACAAGTAGCGCTGTAACAAGTAGCGCTGTAACAAGTANCGTGCAGGAGGTACACGTGCAGGAGGTACACGTGCAGGAGGTACACGTGCAGGAGGTACACGTGCAGGAGGTACACGTGCAGGAGGTACACGTGCAGGAGGTACACGTGCAGGAGGTACACGTGCAGGAGGTACACGTGCAGGAGGTACACGTGCAGGAGGTACACGTGCAGGAGGAACACGTGCAGGAGGTACACGTGCAGGAGGAACACGTGCAGGAGGAACACGTGCAGGAGGAACACGTGCAGGAGGAACACGTGCAGGAGGTACACGTGCAGGAGGAACACGTGCAGGAGGTACACGTGCAGGAGGAACACGTGCAGGAGGAACACGTGCAGGAGGAACACGTGCAGGAGGTACACGTGCAGGAGGTACACGTGCAGGAGGTACACATGCAGGAGGTACACGTGTATACAACACAAGGCCAGCTGTGCAGGATTGCGCCATCATGGCATGTGTGTATGGAGCACACAGCTGTATGGCACCGGAGCTCGCAAAGCAATATTATACAGGTGGATTGCCACGCACACAAATGATACTCGGACACTCACATCACACACGCAGTACCTACACATATCAAACAATCGTATGTCCAGACATAAATTGTTCCAGTATCGTGGTAGTTGATACCTGACATTTACAAGTGTTTAACCAAACCAAGGACCGACCGTGAAAACGAACATGCGAATATGCGATGTGCAAGTGGCCTTCAACTCTAACTTCAACTTGGTCCTCGCAACTCTACCTTCAACTTGGTCCTCGCAACTCTATAGCTTCAACTTGGTCCTCGCAACTCTATAGCTTCAACTTGGTCCTCGCAACTCTAACTTCAACTTGGTCCTCGCAACTCTAACTTCAACTTGGTCCTCGCAACTCTATAGCTTCAACTTGGTCCTCGCAACTCAAACTTCAACTTGGTCCTCGCAACTTTATAGCTTCAGCTTGGTCCTCGCAACTCAAACTTCAACTTGGTCCTCGCAACTTTATAGCTTCAACTTGGTCCTCGCAACTCTAACTTCAACTTGGTCCTCGCAACTCTAGCTTTAATTTGGTCTAAAATCCGCAGACAGAACCCCAGTTCGTATATAGGTTTATTCAGGCTCTCTTCAAAACTTTTTTTCCACCCCCTTTTTCCGACCAGCCGGCAGCGCCAACAGAACCCCTTTAACCCTTCTTCCTGCCGAACCCCTTTAACCCTTCTTCCTGCCGGACGGTAAACGCTAACAGAACCCCTTTAACCCTTCTTCCTGCCAGACGGCAAGCGCAAACAGAACCCCTTTAACCTTATTTAAACCCTTACCCTATATTGCCACAGGTAAGGCACCGACATAAACCCTAACCAACGCTCAGAATCCTGCTCTCCTATCAAGCTTCATCAAAATCGCCAGTCTGTTAACGGAAGACATTCAGTAATGCGTATAACGAGGCGTCGTAAAATTATCGTACAGTAATTTCTTCAACTGGTTTCCCGCGACATGTTACGTGGCTTCATCCGTAAAACTCGAATATTTTAATCGAACACTCGGCCACATGATACACCAAAATTGAAGTTTTTGCCCAGTAGCGTTTTCAAATCACCAGTCACAATAAGAATTATGATAAAATTGATCGTGAACCATTAACCCCGATGGTCAAACTGAGGGAACGTTTCATCACATCGCTCGGCTCTCTAATGTGTCGACATCCACTCCACTGATGAGGAAGAGGATCGATCCAAGCACCGAGCCTGCTACTCTTATTACTCTTCGCCGTGACATACACACCGCATAAAAAAACTCGTTTACCAAAAACATCACTTACACATCTAACACGCCACTTACACATCAAACACGCCACTTACAATATACAAACACGCCACTCGTGCACCGAAAACGAAATTTACACACCAAAATGTCACTGAGAAGGCCATTTACAGAGCAAACACGCCACTTTCAAACAGAACACACGCGCACAACACACTGCCGGCAAGCTTGTTGCAAGGTCACAGAGGAAGCATAGGCCTGGACTCAATATATAGCGAAAGTAGCACAAACACGTCTGCTGTCCCAGCACAAACACGTCTCCTGTCCCAGCACAAACACGTCTGCTGTCCCAGCACAAACACGTCTGCTGTCCCAGCACAAACACGTCTCCTGTCCCAGCACAAACACGTCTCCTGTCTCAGCACAAACACGNCACATCAGCCACTGTGAGCCACAGCCAAGCGGCGTGTACACATCAGCCACAGCCAAGCGGCGTGTACACATCAGCCACAGCCAAGCGGCGTGTACACATCAGCCACAGCCAAGCGGCGTGTACAAATCAGCCGGCAGGTTGTGTTACATGTAAGCTAATAGTACTAATCTGTCTAAGTAACAGTCTAACCTACCTACCACCTAGTAAAAGTATTGGCTAGTAGCCTACCTGCACCAGCAACACGAGCATATCTAACTAACTTTACTAAACTATCACTTATAATTTAGAACACGCTATTCCACAGTCCACGCCCATGACGATGGCAGGACGATGTAACTTGACGAGCCATCGACCTCGTCATAATGCTGAGACTTTCAGTTTCACGTCCTCCAACAAAACCACAACGTCAAATTAGTACTACAACACATAAAAAACATTTACAGTTTTATTCCCCGAATGTCGTAACTCGTACAATTGCAAGTAGTTGAGACGCTTAGACATGGCATAACTGCAGCCATTGTAAGTTACTTAATAATGATTTACTCACAATGCATATGGAGCAAGAGAAGCGTGACGGCAGCGCGCAGCCTAGCACTTGGTGAGATGCAGGGTACTATCACTTCAGGTAGTTAGGTTTCATTTCATCCATTGGTGACTATCGACTGGGCACTTTGGTCACTTCAGATTCAGAACACTGCAATGACTGCATGAGACACTGACATTCGCGGTGCACAATCACTGCACTCTGCACAGCCCCGGGAAATACTAAAAAGCAGTCACTGCACAGTGCACAGCCTCAGGAATGATTATTACTGACAGGCATCTGAAATTCTGAACTACCTATGCACAATGGCACATGTAACCACAAACGACTAAGCTGCCTAAGCACATGTGTCAGTTTGCCATTATTGATCCAGAAGTGACACTGAAATGAACGTATCAAAGCTTCTAGCAGGATTTAAAACGTACTGTGAATGCTGATCTCTGAATCTATCATAGTAAAAAACTACGGTATCTTAATGATAATGTGTTTCGGGTTATTCTAGGGATAAGCAAGGGAATTTTGGATCCAAACGCACAACCTCTCACGCGTACGGCTGGCGACTGACTGGAGTGATGACGTCGCACTCGCCCTATGGTGCCGTCTGCCGTGGTGCCGTCCTGGTGCGGCAGACACCATAATCACGAAAATGAAGTTCAAACTTTGTATTTTTTCTAGCTTATAGTATTTCTATTTTAAATTACATCTTAGTTTTTTTCAATTCGAATATATGACTCCAATAATGAGCTCTGATTGATTTTAAGGATATGGTGACACCGGAGTGTGTTACGTGGTTTACTTATTTCTACCAGTAAATGCTACCCCAAGATGGTGACCATTTGATACTGTAACTGTGATTGCGATTTTGCGATGATAATGCAATGATTCCACGCCGATTTGATAATATTAATATTAATTTCATGACTATGTGACTTCATCACATGTCAAGATAATCTTGCTATGTGATAGTACGGTATTGATGTTGCGAACGAGACGAGAGTATCTGTTGATAATATTGCGATGCAAAAATATGAAATCACTATGCTGTGATGATTTAATTAATGACGAGATACTGTGTTGATGTGTTGGTATTATGATTAGATGCTGTGGCCAGTTGGATCGTATGTTTCTGGGGCCTGCCATCTTTTCAACTCATCAACCCATTGAGAAAAAATATGCATTTACGTCGACCACTCCATGAACAAACGTCCACATATCCTTTAAAAAAATATATATCACGCCATTGTTGACACTTTTGATGCTCAAAAATGAAGAGAAATGCAAAAAGATATAAATTGAACAAATCTGTGTACTCTACTCAGCATTTGAAGTTATATTTTAAGATAAATTGGCGACTCCACTGCTATATATACTATACTATAGGGTAAAACTATAGGGACCTATTAAGGGATAAACTATACTATAGGGTAAAAGTATACTGTAGGTAAAAAGAAAATAAATAGCCTAATAAGGAATATCGAATGTTCCGAAATCTTCATATATATATCGAAATTGATTAAATTAAAATAAGCAAACGTGCTACTTAACCACAATGTTAACTTCCATGACAGTACTCGACATGTTCTTGTAAAAAATAGTACTGAAAATACAAAATTATTTTATTTATCAATGACCTTTATAGTATGAATGAAATTTAATGGCTCAGCCCGGCGAGCGATATAGTGAGGCTACTGGCAATTGGTTCACAATTGATGAACTCTAACTGTAAAACATCAGTTTTCCATTCTTCATTTGATTCTGTGCTTTGTTAAAATCGGACTGACTGAACCAGCTTCAACCATACCTGAAGATGAGAAGGCAAACCAAGAAGTTGCTTCGCTTCAGTACAGACAAAAGTTCAATATTCAGAAATAGTTTTATGATCAATTTTTTTAGCTTTCAGATTTACGCACATTTCGTCAAGTTATTTTTTAATTCAGACTCATTTCATTCTTTATTTTGAAATCAAATAGAGATGCGTGCCGTTCTGGAACATGCATATTTTTTCAGATCACGGAAACGTGTTGAGGATTCTTCTCTTCTCTTGTTCGGGTGTTCAATAACAACTTTGAAATACTGTCTAAAAATTTCTCCAACTCCTTTATGATTCGCCGTTTGAAAATATCGAAAATGGTTCATTTTTGTTTAAAATATTGAAATTTTATCATATTTTAAATTTCCCGCAAAAAAAATGTTTTTCTATTGGAGTTTTTTAAAAGCTAAATCGATTCGTTTCATTTTCCTCGATCGACCCCATCAGTTGCACCTCTTTGAGTTCAGTCCTCGACTCCCAGGAGGAGGATATTGACAACATGCCGACCTCTACACTGACAAGCTAGTGTCGCTGAAAAACCACTGATGTGCGCTGGAAAAATTCGTGAACTGGCTGGAAAAATTGATGAACTGGCTGGATAACTTAGTGGAATGGCTGGAAAAATTGGAGAACTGGCTGAAAAATTTATTGAACTGGTTGGAAAACTTGGTGAACTGGCTGGAAAACTTAGTGAACAGTTGGAAACAAGTCAACTGCCTAGAAAACCAAATATCGCCTTTTACAAGGCAAATGACGTTGAGACAACATCAACGTACCGTCAATTCAAACACAACAACGTTAAATCCAGTGCTGGTTCAACGATAGATGCCAGGGGTGGGTAGACAACCCAGTGAGCGGGCTGGAAGTGCCCATAATTGGTTGGAAAACGCTGCGAAATTGAGTGAGGTCCTGCACGGAGGACGAAATTGCGGCGAGGGCGCGTCTGGCTGCTGACACGTCTAATGGACGAGCTCATGCTGAGGGTGGTGTTGGTGATGTTGGTGATGATGTTGGTGATGTTGGAGGTGATGTTGGAGGTGATGTTGGAGGTGATGTTGGAGGTGATGGTGTTGGTGATGTTGTTGGTGATGTTGTTGGTGATGTTGTTATGGTGCTGATGCTGGTGATGTTGTTGGTGATGTTTCTGGTGATGTTGTTGGTGATGTTGCTGGTGATGTTGTTGGTGATGTTGTTGGTGATGTTTTTGGTGATGTTGCTGGTGATGTTGCTGGTGATGTTGTTTGGTGATGTTGTTGGTAATGTTGCTGGCGATGTTGATGCTGCTGTTACCGGTAACGTACCGTTGGATGTTTTTGATGTTGTTGCTGGTATTTACGATATTGTTGCTGCTATTGACAATAGTCTTACTGTTATTGACGATATTCTTGTAATTATTGACGATATTTATGCTGTTATTGATGACAGTGTTGACGCTTTTGACGAAAGTTTGGCTGTTATTGGCAAAAGTTGTGCTGTTATTGTCGAAATTTGTGCTGTTATTGATAATATTGTTGTAATTGATGATATTGTTTGTTATTATTGACGATAAATCGACGTTTATGACGATGCGCTGGCAACAATTGACGATATAATTCTTATTATTGACGATATAGTTGCTGTTATTGACGACAGTGTTGACGTTTTTGACGACAGCGTTGACGAAAGTCCTGCTGCTATTGACGATATTGTTTGTTATTATTGACGATAAATCGACGTTTTCATCGATACTCTGCATCAATTGAGGATATTATTGTCATTATTGACGATATTATTGATATTATCGACGAAACACTCAAGTAAGTTCATGAATCATGCTGGCGAAACTCCACGCTGGCCACTACGGCCCGTATTGACTGCTGCCGTTGCCATAGCAACGCAGAGTAGATTGCGCATGCGCAAAGATCTTTCAATGTTCCCTCACCTCGGCCCCTTTTTCGCGTTACTTTCCATAGAGCTAGCCTCCTCCAACACGCATTTATGCTTATTGGAATTTAATTATCATTCAGAAATAAATATTTTCTGTGTCAAGGCTACGTTTAGTTTCTCACATAAGAATGGAATATAGTTCATTTCCCTCAACTTAGATTTAAGAAATATTTATCTTGTATCCGTGGTATGCGTCAGGGCGGAAGTTTACGCCGCAGTACGGTGGCCATGCTCTGCCGCTGGTCAAGCCTCACTCTGCGGTGACCGCAGCAGCGAGGCGGAAGTTGGAGGCCGATTATTGAATTGATGGCGCCGTTTCTTTTCCTGCTGCTGCTTATGAGACTCCTTTTGTGATGCTGCTCTAAGTCATAATGGAAATTTTGAATTACTGATGCTGTCACTCCATAAAAATGCTATGATATTGCTGCTGCAGCTGATTCTGATGCTCCAGTAATATTGTATGGTATTGATGTTGCGTTCCATGTAGAAGACTGTGTGAGGACGGCGCATTGAAAGTCTGGGCGCTTGAGCCGACTCACATTTACTTAAAACAGATACGGCAAGCTTTATCTCAAAGTTTGCATTATATCTGATATGCAGGCGTCTTGTACTTCACTTCTCTGTTTTTATTTATTTAATTTGTTTGAGAAAAACTGCACGATATGAATTTCTGGACAGCTTTTCTTCATTTCTGTGTTGGTTGAGCCAACACAGAAATAATCTTTAAAATAGTATCATCTCTAAAATTTTCTCAGATCAAAGATTTTAATAAGTCTACGGAATCTACTTCGAACATTTAATTACATTGGTTTCATTTATTCGCATTACCCATAAACTCACGCGAGGTTTCATTCACTTATAAAACCATTCGATTTTTTAATTTATTTGTTTTCTTCTAAAAAGGCACGACAAGCGAGAAGAATTGTGATCTTTTACATTATCTGTTAGAAAATAAGGAAGCGCGAACAATTACACAAAGATTATAGGGTCTTTACAAAAAAGTTTTACGATATTATTCTAGTAATGGATCAATAAGAATAATGAATCACAAGCTTTCCACCCCCACGCCCCAACTGACAAGGAGGGTGCAAACCAGCCTACGTATAGGCCTGATATAGGTTATCTGATCACGCACTGTAGACCATCATACGAGTTCCACCGAGATATATATCCAAATAATTAATGTTATTGATTAATATTGGTGGTGGAGTAGATGGTGGTAGGTGGCGTAGATGATGGTAGTTGGCGTAGATGTTGGTATGTCGTACAACCATCTACTAAGATTCTGAAAAGTCACCATAAGATATGGTGCGATGCGGTACGGTACAAGAGCTATAGGGTGTAACGCTGAAGTGCGGTAATAAAGCAGCTAGAAGTACAAGGAAAAGGATTTAGATACAATAACGGAAAAGACCGGGACACAGCGTTGGAGTCTAACGGGAGAGACCGGGACACAGCGTTGGAGTCTAACGGAAGAGACCGGGACACAGCGTTGGAGAAAATAGAAGGGACCGNTATAACGGAAGAGATCGGGACACAGCGTTGGAGTATAACGGAAGAGTCAGGACGATGGTGGGGCACCGCAGCCTCTGATGTCACCAGCCAATGGGGCGGCGGGGGCGGACCTGCGTCGCGGCAACACTTGTCATTGGCTCCGGTGTCATAAAATAAGGCCATAAAAGTTATGTATATGAGGTGCAATTGAATGTCGAAGCTTTGTGCTCAATTCCTACAGTCGTGATGTGAACGTAAGAGCGCTGGCCTACACCTGCTCTTTAATCAGTAAATAGTGAATTGTCTCCAAATTTCTTCTTAATAGTTCTGCTCAAGTTTTCTGGTTCATAGTTAACAAGATTCCAAATTTAATCCGAAAAATATAGATCACTGAGTTTAAACTTATGCTAAAGTTCAACATGGATCATAGCTGACAATTTTTGAGAAAATGGCAATAATTAAGGAAAAATTGACAACAAACTATTCAGTGTTTCCGTACAAAGTTAATCAAAACTGAGACAAGTCCTAAAAAGTATATGCGTAGATTGTACAGCACGTCACGGAAAGGAGCGCTAGCTCTGGACTATTGAATTTATTTATTAGGTTTCCGAGGTTCTTGTGCAATGCTCACATATTTTGTTTTTCATTAGCTCATATTAATGCTGCTTGTAAAGTTCACTTATGACAGTTCACAGTGCGCCGACATGTCGATCATGTAGGCATGTACATAATATGCCAGCGTTCAGTTGACTGCACCGTTAAAATTTGCAACAACGATTTAACCTTTTGATAGAAACGTACGGTAAAAACTAAACAACTTAATATCGAAGATTCAGCTGGATAACAAATGTCGTTCGGGAGCAGTGCCACTCCCCCCGGTCCCCTGTACACCGGCAGTAGTTCTGTTCTGCCCAGCACATCCCCAATGGAGGGAGTGTCCCCTCATCCCCGCCAGACCCCGGACTTCCCATCCAACAGCAACTCCTGTTTCAACAACAGACTTCACTACGAGTACACATCGCCTTCATTCTCCGTTTCTGAAGGGGAACCTTCTTCAGGAAGACCTGCTCTTACCCAGCAGGCTTCCTCAACACCCTCCACCACCGAGGAAGCTCCTGTCAGAAGCCCCATGTCCTCCCCAGCCATGCTGGACCCAAGTAGCTCCTTCGAAGGAGACTCCTCTCGGCTCGTAATGTTATCCCGAAGCATGGCGGCCAAGGCCCTAACCCTCGAGGAGAAAGGTACCGACGAAGCCTTGAACATCGAAGTGGAGCTCGAGAACGAGGAGCTGTGGCGGATGTTCCACAGCGTGCGCAACGAAATGATCGTCACCAAGTCCGGCAGGTAAGAGGCGACATCTCGCCATGTTGGATCTCATGGAACAAAGCTTGTAGCGGCCGCCACCCGGGCGGCGTATCCATCAAATCAATTAGTTTAAACGTAATATGACTTATTTAAAATAAATTGTGGCACGTAGCGTAGTTTGTGGCACTTAGCACGATGAGCTGATATATACGAGCGCTGGGGTGTAGAGCTGCTGTGAGTGTTGTGTTGCAAAGCTTGCCGATGCATTATACTGAATAGATATTATCGCTGCTATTTAGAGTAGATATTATCATTGCATTGAGTCTTATCAAAGATGATTGAGTATTACCAAATCATGCATGATTGAGTCTCACCAAAGATTGTCATGATTGTCTCTCACCAAAGATTGCCATGATTGTGTCTCACCAAAGATTGTCATGATTGTCTCTCACCAAAGATTGCCATGATTGTGTCTCACCAAAGATTGTCATGATTGTCTCTCACCAAAGATTGCCATGATTGTGTCTCACCAAAGATTGTCATGATTGTCTCTCACCAAAGATTGCCATGTTTTTGTCTCACCAAAGATACAAAAAATAAAACAGCGAAAAGAAAACATGTCAAGACAACGAAATGATTATGCAAAATGATCTTACTAAAACTTTGCGCAAGCACAATTTTAGCACATGTCACTGAAAGTTCTATCAAACGCTTATGGCTACATCGATCTGTCTGATTTTTGATGGAGAGATGGAGAAAAACATAGGGAACATATCTTGACCTTCCAAAAATTTTTAACTTCATTACTTTTTGAGTTACAGCCATTCAAAGTTGAGTATCGTTTTTTTGGGACACCCTGTAGAGTAGATATTATCGCTGCATTATACAGTAGAGAATATCAGCAGCATATTGTACAGTCATTATTACTGCTTAATTTTATACAGTATATAATACAGCCACATTATTCAGTCGATTCCACAGTCACATTTACAGTCGATATTACTGTTGAATTATTCAGTCGATATTGCAGCTCCGTTTTTCAGCTAATATTAAATCCGTACAGCAATATTGCGTAGTATTAGCCCTGAACCATCATCAGAGAGAGATTGAAGCATCAACACAAATGAGAGGTAAACACAAGCGCACTTTGTTTGTGCCGAGAGTTTTTGTGGGCCATTGACGTTGTCCTGGTTTGTGGCAGGCTATCCAGAATATTGCTCGAATGTTGCCACAGCGACGAGGTGACAAGAGTTGACTCTGGACAAATATTATAGTGAGCGTGATGACGAGGTGGGCACATCGGGACTTGTCATGGAGCACATCATGACTTATCATGGAGCACATCATGACTTGTAATATAGCACATCATGACTTGTCATGGAGCATATCAGGACTTGTCATAGAGCACATCATGACTTGTCATGTAGCACATCATGACTTGTCGTAGAGCACATCATGACTTGTCAAACAGCACATCATGACTTGTCATGGAGCACATCATGACTTGTCAAACAGCACATCATGACTTGTCATGGAGCACATCATGACTTGTCAAACAGCACATCATGATTTGTCATGAAGCACATCATGACTTCACATATAGCATAGATATGAGTGTGTCGGGCGATGACTTCGAATCATGTTCTGTGACAATTTCACACAATCGAGGAAGCTAAAGTAAAGAAATGATAATTCTGGGAACTTTTATTTAAAGTATAACCAACAAAGTTCGTATGAGCATTCATGTTTACTTGAGATGAAACTTAGTCAAAAGTGCTCATCAAAGGTACGAACACATACATCATTTTCGTCTGCCGGATACTCAAATTGAATTTAATGCAAATAAATGCTTCAATGTTTGCTTCAAAGGTTTGTAGCAGGTGATTCATCGGAAAACATGGGTGACGAAAGGGTGACGTTAAAACTAGTTTAGATAAGCAGTCCAATCGCTGAAACGGGATAACTGGATACTGTTGAAGAAAAGGACTTTTATTAAGAATAGACAAATTTAGCGCTGAAAATAAGATTCAAATATAGGACACCAGATAACAGGTAATTTAATGAAGAACCTACCAACCTGAGGTTTTATTGCCCAGTGTGGTTGAACACTTGTAGTTGGAAGAAAATAGTAGAAATCAGTTGAAGGGGTGGAAAGTTGGACGAGAAAAAAATAGGAAGAATAGTAAGAGGTTTAAATGCTTTTTAAAGTTAGAAATAGACTTAATCTTAAGATTTAATAGCAGTGAACTTCGCGAGCATAGTAGGTACTAAGTAACCGCACTTTCAGAGCGAAGAAGACCTACATAGAAATTTAATTAATTAACTTTAGGTTTAGATTTGATGAGTAATTGTTGAATTTACGTCTTGAATTTGAGTCTTAACCTATGTCCAACTTCCCACAGAAGGAAGAATGACTTGAATAGTGCAAAAATAAACAAAATTGAAATTTAAACGACATTCATTCAAACAAAAATATAGGGAAACAGGGTTACAGCAAGAGATTACACTGAAACAAATCGCTGCGTTAAAACTACGCACCGAAGTGTCTATCCCGGCTTGTCCTAAAATGAGTTGGCACAGGCGCGTAAAACGCCATTCAGCCAGCCGGCGAGGCTACTTTCAGCGCTTATTTGAAGCTACTATAAGGGCTCTTTCGAAGCTAAGTCATCCGCCAAGCGGCTGTGGCTGAGCGAAATTTTCAGATAGCTGTTACGAAAGCGGCGAACGAACGTTTCGTACTAATTCGTTTAGCCACATTGAGCTATCTAGCTACTTGAGCTAACTGCACCTAACACACGGAATTGTTTCAGTGTAGAGATACTTAGATGCCAGTCAGTTGCAAGTCTTTGGAGATGACGACTTACTTGGATTAATCGTGAGAGTATCTTAAATTGAATCTGAACAGCACTGAAATATTGGATCGACACCGGCTGACTTAGATATACATTTAAGAATTCATATCGACAAACTTCTCACTCCGCTGTTTTTTTACGACTCCTGAGGCCCGCTACAGAATCGCTGACTTCGAATACCTGCTTATTCTACAAATGAAATCAGTAAAACGGAACATGAAGGTAACCTAGAATCTATGTACAAATTTACGGTGAGAAATTAGGAATTTCTCGCAGTTCATGACATGTGCGTGTCATGGCAGGGACTGTAGCTCACATCATGTTCATGATGTGTAAAATAAACATGTAATGCAATTAAATTTCATTCCAAAATAATCGCTTAGCTTATCAAGTTGATCAGTAGCGTTTATGCGTGAAAGCGACTGATCAAGTTGACGTTTCTTTATAGAGAATCGGCTGATTGATGTGCGGCCAATCATTTATAACGGGATTGTCAGCTGATAATTAAATGGTAATTGACTGATTGTTTCGCGGCCAATCATTTATAATGGGATTGCCAGCTGATAATTAAATGATAATTGGCTGATTGGTGCGCGGCCAACCAGTAATGAGGGCGTGGAGACAGTCGAAGTCTCGGGATGTTTGTGGCACGGAAGACGAGGTCAGCACCACAGCGGCCGGTAGACGGAGACTCAAACCTAATATGCGGTCAACGCAACCAACTTCCGACAGAAGTCTTGCTTCGAGTAATAATCTCAAGTTACCCGGAGTAACTAACTCGTAAGTAACTATTAGAGTAACAGCTCATGAATTACCCAGAGTAGCTCAACCGAGAGTGATACTCGGTGTGACATACAGCGCTACTGGCGACATGTAACTGGCAGTGGTAATCTCGTGGCAGGGTTGCCACTGGCAAGATGTAACTGGCGGTGCATGATAATCTCGTGGCAGCGTTGCCACTGGCAAGATGTAACTGGCAGTGGTAATCTCGTGGCAGCGTTGCCACTGGCAACATGTAACTGGCAGTGGCAATGTCGTGGCAGGGTTGCCACTGGCGACATGTAACTTGCCACAAAGGCCCGGCTCAATCATCCGAGTTACCGATACAAAGACGCATGTTCTGCGATCGTGAGCTGCAATGTTATTATAATCAAACTTGAATAATGTGGATGTACAGTTTCTTAAAGTCTCATATACTTCCCCATTGAACCCTAACCTCCCCACTTATCTCAGTGAGGTGCGCCATGCATGACGCGAGCCCCGCGTGGGAGATGAGCGCACACGGAGAAGAGAAAAATGCGATGCATTTTATGCGCTCTGTGAGTCATCCTGACCCAGTTTTCCTCAGGCAAAAGGGCGTACTAGTGTTACGTGTTGAAAGTGTGTCACTATTTGGACAACATGACAAATTTATTCTTCTGAGTGCAATGCGGACCAGAAGCCACAAGTGCGTGGACGGAAGTGAAGGTTTACGGTCAGTTCGAGAATCTCTGGCGATGCGGTCACCTGAAGAATCTGCGGGTCTCCGGCTCTGAAATTCCAAGATGAGGAAAATATGATGCGTAATACAATGTATATTACAACTACATTATGCATTAATTGCACTATCTTCAGCAGACTGACTTCCTAGCGCTAGTAAGTCAGTCTAGGAACACTCATTTCTTTTAAATTTTCCTTGGCAAAAACTTTTCACTTATTTCCATAAATTTTACCGCATTAACATTCCTTTCCAAATGAGTTCTCACTCGCTGCCCATGCATACACTTTTGAGTAAATTAATTCATTTTATTACATCAACATGCATTTGCTACGGAGTTCTCATGCGTTTTCTATACATTTGTCATTAATTTGCAATATAACGATGCCAGAATGTGAAGCTGAGGGCTGAAACCAAGCTGGCAGCGTAATTTCCGTCTCAATTTATGAACATTAATTGAATTCAGAGCAATTCTGGCGCAATTATCCTGCCGCCGGGGAATGATATGCGCTGGGGAATGATGTGAGGTGGGGGAATGATGTGCGCTGGGGAATGATCCCCCTATATGAGAGCCTCATGCCCCAGCGCGCGCCGCATGCCGCGTCGTCAGAAGTGTTCAGTCCTGCCGAGACGCGCCCTCCTGCGTCGTCAACACGACACTAGCATTTAATGTTTCAATATTATTCTGCACCTCAACTTAAATCTTGCACAAGCTTATTGTTAGTACGCAGCATGACGCAAGGATTGAACATAATGATAGTGGTACACGTTAAGTAAGTATTATTAGTACTGGCGCTGCACAGCTACGACGAAGCACTGCTAGTCTATTTAAGTTTTAATAAATGTCATTTTATCGGAGTTGGTACTATAGATTTTTAATTCTATCGGGACCCTGTGGTGAGCATCAAACGTCGTTTTAGGTTTCAATGGAAATTATATGGCTTGGTCATGACGTTAATGTCATGAATACATTACACTGTATTCATTCATACATTACACTGTATCCATGAATACGTTACACTGCATCTATCTTGAATAAATTACACTGTAGGTTAAATTTCAAACCTCAATTATATAATATTTTCAACACTGTTCCCGGTACGTTAAACACTGCTCACGCTTAACAGTTCCAAAACAACGTGATAAGAGGCACAACACAATAGAACATTTAAAAATATGAATGGACCATATGGTCCCAATAGTGAAACAGTTTCTGTCCCTAGCACAGATACGTATTTTTTCTGAAAAAACTGGGTTAGGTTGACACAGGCAGAGACAATATATTATTGGACCAAATTTTCCTTATTTCTTTGAGTATGAAGCGTTTTCACCGGCCCGCAGACGCATGTTCCCGCAGCTGCAGTTCCGCGTGCGAGGACTGCAGCCACGCGTCCTGTACGCCTTCTCCATCTCCTTCAGGCAACTGGACAACCACAGGTAGGGGGGTTGATGAGTGTCTAGTGAGTCTAGTGGGTTCGTCTAGTGAGTGAGACTAGTGAGTGAGACTAGTGAGTGAGACTAGTGAGTGAGACTAGTGAGTGAGTCTAGTGAGTAAGACTAGTGAGTGAGACTAGTGAGTCTAGTTAGTGAGTCTAGTGAGTGAGACTAGTGAGTGAGTCTAGTGAGTGAGACTAGTGAGTGAGTCTAGTGAGTGAGTCTAGTGAGTGAGTCTAGTGAGTNTGTCTCTTATACACATCTAGATGTGTATAAGAGACAGAGTCTAGGGAGTGAGACTAGTGAGTGAGTCCAGTGAGTCTAGTTAGTGAGTCTAGTGAGTGAGACTAGTGAGTGAGTCTAGTGAGTCTAGTGAATGTATTATGTTTCAGTCCAGCATGTATGCTCGATTTTCAGAGCCAGTCTCTCGAAGATGTGTTCAGTAGCAAAAGAGTTTCGAATTTCGCACATGTAAGTGTAAAGCACATTCTAAAAACATTCATTTGCCACTTTACATTGGGCTTAAACATATTTTAAATACGATTAGAAATGGTCTAGAATCATTTACAAATGATTTTATAAATTATAATTACTGAAAAAATCACGTGCTAAAAATGTTTTCTACATGGTCTTTAACGAAAAAAAATATGATCAGAATTAATTTAAACACGTAAGACCACGTTTTATTTTTAGCTAAACCACGGAATAAAACCACATAATCTGTATGTTTTCGTTTGATTAAGCTTAGGCTTCGTCAAATGAACAAGACCGTTGAGGTAATTTAAAAAGTTGATAAAATTTCTTCTTAATATTTCTTTAACAACAACGGTTTTCTAACATCATGATAACACCTGTCGAAATCGCGATGATTTAACGACCAGTTTACCTATTAGGCGCAGCCGAACATAAAATTTATCTCCTTAACTTAAATTATTTTTCATAAAAGCATTTAAGGTTATCATCGTCCTGCAGGTACAAGTACGTCAACGGTGAGTGGATGCAGGGGGGGCGGCCGGAGCCCCCTCCGCCCCCCAAGAGCTACGCGCACGCCAGTAGCCCCAACTTCGGGGACCGCCTCATGGGGGGCAGCGTCTCCTACTCCGGCGTCAAGCTCACCAACAACGGCGGCCACAAGAAGAAGGTGTGTGGCGTGTATGTGACGTGTATGTGGCGTGTGTGTGGCATGTGTGTGGCGTGTTAATGACATGTATGTTGCGTGTTTGTTAAGTGCACGTGGCTTCTATGTGTCTCTTGTGTGGCATGCAGTAATCACTGACGTTAGCACCACAAATGAACGTTAATATTTTTTTGTCAGACTAAATTGTGATCCAAGTCACGAATTTCTCACCATAAGGTTAGCTTTGGACCGCCATCATATCGTTAAGTTCATCGATATTGAGACGTCAGAGCTTTTGATATTAGAACGGCAAAGCTATTGTTATTAAGTTTAATACTATAGGTCCGCAAACCTGTTGACATTTAGTCAGTAAAGCTATTAATATTAGGTTCAATACTAGAACGGCCAATGTATTGATATTAGGTCGGCATAGCCATTGATTTTAGGTCGGCAAAGCTATTGATATTAGATTCATTACTAGGACGGCAAAGCTTATTATATGAGGACCACAAAAGTGTAGATCATAACACGAAGGGCGTGCGCAGGCTGGTGACGACGACAGGAAGGAGGTGTTGGTGTGGCTGAACAGCCTGCACCGCTACGTGCCCTACCTCAACATCCACCGCGTGGATGACAACCTCGAGAAACTCGTCGCCTCCTACAGGATATCTGTCTGCGAGTTCATTGCAGTCACCGCATACCAAAACGATACGGTGAGTCATAGTAACTTTTGGGATACTGTGGGTAATTGTGCACTGACTTGTTGGGATACCGTGGGTATAATGGACCAGGCGACTACAGCGACTTGTTGGGATACCGGGGGTAATGGTGCACTGACTTGTTGGGATACCGGGGGTAATGGTGCACTGACTTGTTGGGATACCGGGGGTAATGGTGCACTGACTTGTTGGGATACCGTGGGTAATGGTGCAGTGACTTGTTAAGATACCATCAGCAATGGTGCAGTGACGTTAATTGCGTTGTAGTGACGTATACGGTTAACAGGAGTCACGGTGCAGCTACATGGAAAATAATGTTATGGATGGAACCTTACGGAGCGGTTCCAAGATTCCTACTAACCCATAAAATATTACCTTAGTTCCCGGTAATTTTTCCGCAAGGAGAAGTATTGCAGATACGCGCTGTGAATATCACGCGTTATCAAGATGATAATCATGGCGGGATGTTATCGAGACACGGAAATATCTTTTGAAGAAGTTACGAGGCATTGTGAAAGAAGGATGAATTTTACATTTTTATCGATAAAAATTCAAAAACCATTTTCGATTGAAGAAAATTCAAAAACCATTTATGACTTTCAAGATTTAAATGTTGTTCGAAGAATTAAAAATTCGAATTTATTTCAAACTTTGCTGTATATGAGTCGTGTCACTCGTGTGTTAATCCAATGTTGCATGCGTTGCGTTTGCGTAGGTCTGTTCTCTAAACCATATTTATAATGTTTGGGAATTGATGACGTGACTCAGGAAAACGAGATTCTATGTAACGGGACTCGGGGAAGCGGGATGATCTTTGTAACGGGATTCGAAAAAGCGGAATTTTTTAAACGGGATATGGGAAAGAGGGATGTTTTGTAACGAGATTCGGAGAAGCCGAATTTCTTGTAAAGTGATTCGGGGAAGCGGGATGTTTTGTAACGGGATTCGAAAAAGCGGAATTTTTTAAACGGGATATGGGAAAGAGGGATGTTTTGTAACGAGATTATAGGGGAAGCCTGATCTGTTGTAAAGGAATTCTGGGAAGCCGAATTTCTTGTAAACAGATTGGGGGAAGTGAGATACTTTGTAACGGGATTCAGGGATGTGGGATTGTCTTTAATTTTAGCGTTTAAGATTAATGACGGTCGTAAATTTTGACTATATTTTTCCACACATAATACGAGACAAGAAAACATTTCACACATAATACATGACAATACATCTCATGCTTAATACAGGACAGCAACAAATTTCATAAATAATGGATTTCATAAATAATGGACGACAACAATACATCTAATACATAATGCAGGACTGTACATTTTATACATTATACAGGAATATACATGCGTATTAATGCTAGCGGCCGTGACGAATTGTACGCCCATTATTGCAGATTATTTTTACGATGTCAGTAAAAGCATTGAACTGATAGCGGCTCATTGTGAAGTGCCTTCAGAGCTACGCTGTACTGTAGCCTGCTGTTGTAGCATGCTGTACTGTAGCCTGATGTACTGTAGCCTGCTGTTGTAGCCTGCTGTACTGTAGCCTGATGTACTGTAGCCTGCTGTACTGTAGCCTGCTGTACTGTAGCCTGCTGTACTGTAGCCTGATGTACTGTAGCACGTAGCATGCTACACCTTGGCTGCAGCATGCTGCAACACACGCAGCCCCTGCAACACACGCAGCTCCTGCAACACACGCAGCCCCTGCAACACACGCAGCCCCTGCAACACACGCAGCCCCTGCAAAACACAGCCACACACAACACAGCCACACACACAACACAGCCACACACAACACAGCCACACACAACACAGCCACACACACAACACAGCCACACACACAACACAGCCACACAAGTTACCTGTATTATTTACTGCTGTTGACATTAAAGTTTCGCCTAAAAGGACGGCGCAGGGACTGATGTCGTCCGTGTTTATGGCCGCCAAGATAATCGCCTTATCGTCAGATACGAGCGCCACATCTCCGTGTGCTCAGCGATGAAAGTTCTGCCCATGAGCTCCTCGCTTTTTTTTCTTGCCATGCAAATTCAATTAACATTTTACGACTGTTTGATCAATCGTGGCGCGCCGACAAGCGGCGGTGCCTAGGGCTGGTCGAGCCCCTTACCTCCGCTACTCCATTACCCTCGTAGCTCCATTACCTCCGCTACTCCATTACCCTCGCAGCTCCATTACCTCCGCTACTCCATTTCCCTCGTAGCTCCATTACCTCCGCTACTCCATTACCCTCGCAGCTCCATTATATCAGCTGTTCCATTACCTCCGCTACTTCATTACTTCCGATGCTACATTACCTCCACAATTCCATTACCACTGCGACTCCACTACCTTCATAACCCCATTACCTCCATAACTCCATGACCTCTATAACTCCATGACTTCCATAACTCCATCACCTCCATAACTCCATGACCTCCATAACTCCATCACCTCCATAACTCCATGACCTCCATAACTCCATCACCTCCATAACTCCATTACCTCCATAACTCCATCACCTCCATAACTCCATTACCTCCATAACTCCATTACCTCCATAACTCCATTACCTCCATAACTCCATTACCTCCATAACTCCATTACCTCCATAATTGAGTTCCTTCCTTCTCTGCATAGCACCTCCCAAACTTATAACTTTTCTGCCACATCCTCTTCATACAGCGATACAAGTAATGATTACCTGTGATAATAAGAATAATGACATGCAGCGATATAAATAATGATTTGATCATTCCAGGAAGTGATTGGCGCGTTATTTGCTCTTCGTGACGTCTTCTTAACGCTCAGTGTTTTGCCAGGCGACGTGTGATGCGCTGGACGTCAGAACAAGAACGTGTCGTTACTTGCGTCGTCGTAGCGTCGTCGACTATCTAGAAATAACGAGCGTTGTATTATATATGCAATCGTAAAGCTTACGACGGACGTATCCTTGAGGAGGTGTATTTATCCCGGCCATCATATCTTCTATGATCGTCGTAACCCCAACGACAGTAGCCTCTACGACTGCCGTAGCCTCTACGACTGCCGCATCCTTTACGACGTCCGCAGCCTCTACGACACCCACAGCCTCTACGATACGGCCGCAGCCACTACGACACCCACAGCCTCTACGATACGGCCGCAGCCACTACGACACCCGTAGCCTCTTCGACAACCGATGCCTCTACGACACCCGTAGCCTCTACGACACGGCCGCAGCCTCTACGACACCCGCAGCCTCTACGACAACCGTAGCCTCTACGACACGGCCGCAGCCTCTACGACGGCCGCAGCCTCTACGACACCCGCAGCCTCTACGACAACCGTAGCCTCTACGACACCCGTAGCCTCTACGACACGGCCGCAGCCTCTACGACGGCCGCAGCCTCTGCGACACCCGCAGCCTCTACGACAACCGTAGCCTCTACGACGGCCGTAGCCTATACGACGGCCGCAGCCTCTACGACACCCGCAGCCTCTACGACAACCGTAGCCTCTACGACACCCGTAGCCTCTACGACACGGCCGCAGCCTCTACGACGGCCGCAGCCTCT